GGGGGCTGGAGGTGGGATCCTGGAGGCCCGAGCTTGAGACGGTAGGGTCCATACCCCTCCACCCCGTGCTTCCCACACTCAGACATGACCTGTGCTCCTCTGCACTTGGCTGTGCTGACTGCATAGGGGCCACATGGTCATGTCAGAGTCAATGGAGTCACCATGAGGAGATTTATTTAGACATCTCCGTCTTGTGCCCTATGAGGTATGGGAGCCTAAACCGCTAAGTAAGGCCGACGCTGAACCGCTCATATGCTACAATGTATTGATTCATTCCCAGGGAATCCAGGGCCCTGAGTATATGGCTGGCCCCTTGGAACAGAGGGACTCAGAGAGGGGACCAAGGGTCACATGGGGTCTTGTCACCTGATGATGCACGCACCTCATTGCCCACAGGCTTCCTTATCTTCCTGTGGTACTGGTCCATGCGGCTCCAGGCCCAAGGCGGCCCCTCTCCTCTGAAGAGCAACTCGGACAGCGTCAAGCTCCCCATCAGCTCCGGCGGCAGCACCTCTTCCAGTCGCATCTAGGCCACGGCCACACCTCCTCGTGGAGGACACATGCATGGCGTCTGTTCACACTGTCTGTGGCTCAGTGCTGTGCCCAGCCTTGGTTGGTTAGTGGCAATACTAGAGAAGGCCCTGGTCCTTGGAGGCATAGGGCTGTTGCTCTGATAGGTAGACACCCAGCTGGCCTCGGGGACTACCCCACTTCCAGATCTGGTCCCCGAAGCACACTGCCATGCTGGCTGTGGGGCTGTCCTCACAGCTGCTTCAGGCTGGAGTGAAGGCCTTGTCTTACTGGTCATTTCTCGGCCCAGCTGTGGCTGCTGGGGGTTAAGATTTGCAGCCCCAAGCTAGGGTCAAGGTTAGACCTTGGAGGCTGGCACATCCTAAACTGTTGTCCTTGTCCAAGATGCAGCTGCCTTGGCTCTTGCTGCTCTGTCCCTGTGGTCATCATGCAGCACTCTGCCTGTCTCTGACTTTTGGTCCCAAGGGAGGCACTGAGGGTGGATGGGTTTGGAGAAACTTTGGAGCCATAACCCCTGAGGAGGTGAGCCTCCCCGCACCTGCCTGCCAGCCCTCCTCTTCCTTCCTCACCCTCCTCCTCCTCCTTGGTCCCCTAGCCCTCCATCTGCAGCTTGGGGTCGTAGGCCAGTGCTGTGGTTTGAGGTAGCAGTTCCCAAGAGCTGGTGCCTGCTATAAACTTCTGTTTGCTGTGAACCTTGGCCTCTCGCCAACTCTGGCTCAGGACGTGTTCCTGGGCTAGACCAGGCCAACCTGTCTGTGCCTGTCTCCAAGCTGCCTCCCCTTTTCTCACACCTCCAAGGGGCTTCCGCCTCTCCTGAAGGCTCCCCCCAGCAAGAACTGTGGGGAATGGCGCTTTTTCCAACCCAACATCCTGAAGACCAAGACAGCCCTCTCTGGTGACATTGGCAGAGCTTGATGTTCTCCTGAGGGGTGACCTTCAAATCACTGTAGATGGTCGAAGACACTGGGCTGCCTCTCGTGTGTCCTCTCCTACTAACACACATTGGTCTTAAGAACACACTGGTAGTAAGAACATAACCCACCAGACCTGGCAGTGGCCCTTGAGAACTTCCACAATGTCCTGGAGCTTTAGTTACAGGGCTGGGGAGCCATTGCTCCTGGCTGGGAATCCAGGAGGACTTCCTGCAGGAGGTAGCATTTCATCTTGACCTCAGCCTTCAAGTTGGGGAGGACCCTCTTTTTAAATACCAACTCATATGTCCTTTGCTATTAAAGCTCTTTGTAGGGGAGTTTGGAAACTGTAGGAGATTGTTGAGAAGAAAAATAAAAATCAGCTGTTATCTGATGCCATGGCAAAGCCCCACAGTTTGGAGAGTTTCCGTCTCGGCTGTGTGTGTGTGTGTGTGTGTGTGTGTGTGTGTGTGTGTGTGTGTGTGTGCGCGCCTTTCATGGAGTCCAGACAGGGACATAAAATCCATTGATCTTACAGCTTTGAATACGCAAAGCCTTCCCGGCCAGAGGTCACTCTTGAGAGCTGAGTTCAGATTCTGACTGGTCATGTGACACAGACCAGTCTGGCCACCAGTCTGGAGCAGGTGGGCTGCAAAATGAAATGACTCAGTTCTTCTCCCAACCCTGCTTCTAGCCTGCTCCTCAAATCTCTCCCCCCCCTTACACGATACATGGTAGATATGTCTCAGGTGTCTGCCCCCGTGCGTGCGATTGTCCCCATCTGTGCTCAACACCAAGAGGTATAAAAAGCAGGGTGTGCTGGCACACTGTAATCCCAGTACTTGACATGTTGAGGCAGAAGGATTGAGAGTTCAAGACCAGCCTGGGCTGTATAGTGAGACTCTGTCAAGAAAGGGAGGGAGGGAGGAAGAAGAAGGAAGGAAAGAAGGAAGGAAGGAAGAAAGGAAGGAAGAAAGGAAGGAAATGGAGGGAGGTAGGAAATCCCTCTGCATTTGAAGTCTGGGCTCAGCCCAGGTCCACAATCACACCCCATGCCCACCCCTCGTTGCCCCAGGGGAAGTTGGGGAGTAAACTAGGCCAGGCACCTTATGACCAGACAAGGTGAGGGGGAAGCTGCCTTGGTGGTTCTAGGTACACGGGCAGTTCCCACACCATGGCGTGAATGTGGCAGATTTGGGGATCTGCAGGGACCTTGGCATGTGGGAGCCTCTGATGCATATCTCCAGTCCTCCTCCACTACTTTGATGGCCCCTGATTCTACTCTGGGGTTGTTTGGTTGTTTGTTGAGACAGGGTCTCTCTATGTAGCTCTGGCTGTCCTGGAACTCACTATGTAGACCAGGCTGGCTTGGAACTCACAGAGATCCACCTGCCTCTACCTCTTGAGTGCTGGGATTAAAGGTGGGTACCACCACGCCTGGCTTACTCTGGAGTTCTTATGTCCCTACCTAAGAGGAAAGAACCAATCATTCCCAAGGCCCTTTGCCTGAACAATACCCTGCTAGCCACTCAGCAGGATTGCAGTGCTTGTAGGCCTCTAGGTCTCTGTGAGAGGGTTTCTTTGGCTGGCACCCTCTCCCCTCTCACAGGCAGAAAGCACCCCCTCCCAGTTTCATCTTCCCTGAACCTCTGATTTCAAGGCTGACTCGGTCGGATAAGGGGATGGGACCCCTAATGGCTTTAAGGGTGGCTCTTTCTAGGCTGAGGGTCTGTAGACAACACACTTTCCCACTAAGACAAGCAAGGGAGCTTCTAAAGACACCTTTCTGGTTTGGGATACAACCAGGGTAGCCAGGTGATGTTGACTGGCCTGGCAGAGGACTTGAGGCCTTGCTGACTAGGAGACATTGGGATAAACTGGGGTTGGAGATAGTAGAAGGGGACATTACTGTTCTGTTAGCCCTGAAATGTGGGGGCCCCAGGGAACCCTAGGCCAGTCCCTGGTCTCACGGGGTCTTCCTAGAAGCTCTGTAGAGTGAGGCTCTCCACCTCCCTGGCTGCCCGCCTGGCCTCCCAGGGACACTGGACACCATGCCTCTGCCTGCAGATCACCAGGCTGTTTTCAGGAACCCACGAGGCTCACGGAGCCAGCATGGGTTCTAGGCTGGTCCCAACAAGCCAGGGCCCATCATCTCACACATCCTGGCCCTTTCCCGAAGCTAGGAGGGAGGCCAGAAGCAGCCAGGGGAGATTAGCTGGAGGAGGGGCTCTTACCTTCCTGTTAGAGGAAGCTCGGGGACACAGGAACTTCTGGATTCTGACCTGGCTATATCCCCCACCCACCTTCTACAGAACAAGAGTGACCCATCATCCCTTCTCACACCCCCTCAGGTCCAAAGGGCCTAGCAGGGGGCCGTGTGGAAGGAAGGGGAGACAGAGGACAGCTACAGTTGGGTAGCTCCCCCAAAAGACCCCAGAGTGGAGCAGAACTAGCTCGGATCTGAGAAGGGTGCTAGTGAAGAGAGTCTGTCCAACACCGAGGGCTTGGCCTTATCCATGACTTCCTTGGAGTCAGCAGAGTGGTAGGGCCCACCCCTTCCCTAAGCATGTGTATGTGTTATGTGTGCTTGCGTGTTTGTGTGTATACGATTCCCCTTCTTCCTGCCTGGACCAGCAATGACCGGCTTGGGGATGGCAACTGCAACTTCACATTACCGGTCACCGTCACGCTAGTGCTGGTAACCTCCTCCACAGAGCAACTCCAAACATGTCATGTCACAGCCCTTCCCATGCCTGTGAGACGGGCCAAGCCACAGATGGCTAGTGCAGGGTCAGCAGGCCAGGCAGTGGCCACAGCAGACATGTTGGGCTGATCACCTCCAGGGGCCACACTCCAGGGACCACACTCGTGACCAGTTTACTCTCCCTGTTATCCTGCCTTGTGGGAGAGGCTCAAGGCCCACAGCGTTGATGCCCCTCCCCTCTCGGGGCCCAGCAGGTTAGGTTAGGTTTACACCTGGCCTTATTCTCATGCCTTCCGTGTCTTTGGCCTCATGGGTGTGCTAGGCTGGTTACAGGTCTCATCAAATGCAGACACTGACAGTCAGCTTGTGCGTGACCCTGCACAGCTATCTGCCCCTTGGTCCCTCTCTCAGGGACGGGAAGGACTCGTGACATGAGATCTGTGGAGCTGCTCTATGGGAGGTGCATAATCAGTTGACCAGCACTGGCATGTATGGCAATCAGTGCTGTGGAGTTACAGTCACCCTCCCCAAGCTGGTCACCGCTGGTCCAGGCAGGAAGAAGGGGAACCGTATAATGCATACTGGCTTATACATATACAGAGGCAGGAATGAGCTTCAGACACTTGCTAGGGAAACGGGATTCCCTGCCTGACTCTAAACCTTAGGGCTTCTCTGTCCAGAGACACCTGTGGCTGCTGGGCGCCAGTGCCCACTGGCAGGGTGATGGGAATCCAGCCCAGTTCCATCTGCAGGTGGTCTCAGGCCATGTGCGTCACAGAGCACCGCCCAGTTCCCCATATCCACCTTTCACAACCCCACGGATGGCGCCATTCATTGGGCAGGAAGAACAAGAAAGAGGCCACAGGAAACAGTAGCCGCACATCAGGCAGGAGGAAGGCCAGTTGGACAGAGCTTGTGACCAGGAGGCCACACAGCCACCGGACTCTGCCGACCACTGATGGCAATAGCCAGAAGCCTGGGCCTCCTGCTCTTTCTGCTACTGGGTTCAGGTGAGCTCGCGTGGGTCCCTCTAGCCCTCCTGCTAAGCCCGTGAGATCCTGTGCTACAAAGTGCCCTGGGAAGCATGGGAAGAGACCTAGGGATTCAGACAGGCTGGGAAGAGACCCAGGGATTCAGACGGGCTGGGAAGGTGAGGAATCAGAGACCACCTCATCCTCTATTTTATTTGGTCATCCCTGTCCTAATAAATCCCATCATGTTGGGTCTCAGGCTCCCTTTTTAACCCCACAGTGTGCTGTAGGTGGGGAGGAAAGATATTGTCCATCCATCCTGGCTAGGCTAGAACCTGGTTCTAGGACATGATGGGCCAAACAAGCTATTCAGTGGCTCTGGGCTCCAGGCAAAGGTGTTGGGGTCTGGAAGGATGGGCAGCTGCTCTGCCCCCATAACCCATCCATCACAGGTTCCCCTGCCCTGTCAGACCTGCTCAGTGTCATCAATGAGCCAGGAGCCAGACCACTCCTGCCACACACATTTCAGCTTCACACATCAACACAGGGTTTCTAGTCCTTCCTCTACCCAAGGACAGCCATTCTTACCTCCATGAATGGCTCCGCGTCCTTCTCGGCTGCTGAGTGACGGCTCTGTGGAGACGGTGTCTCTGCGCCCCATCTTTCCTTGTTTGCTCCAACTTGGACAAGTATCCTAGGTGTCCACCTCTCTTCGTGTCTGTGACTTGTAGACACGTGACTGGCCACATGGGTCAGCATCTCTTGGTTTGGGGTGGGGGGGACTCTTTTCAGTAAGGGACAGAGTTCGGTGTCTGGCTCAGAAGTGGACATGTATGGTGAAAAGTGCAGTGTGGTATGCTTGCTCTTGGGAGGTAGAGGCAGAAGGATCGGGAGTTTGAGTTCTGCCTCAGCTACGTAGTGCGTTTGAAGCTGGCCTGGGTTGCTGGAGACTCTGGGTATAAACGCAGATAGAAAGCGACTGTTCTGTCTTTCTCGTGGCCGGAGGACATCCTGGGGCAGGCTGTCAGGCAACCCTGGGCTGACAAGCCTTCTCCAAGTGGTGCCGAGGACCCAGCAGTGGTGGGCATGCTCAGGGCTGGGTGACGTCATCTGAGTGACACAGGCGTTGGCAGATTTATATTAGACATCACACTCTGCCCTTGGTGGCCCTTGATGCCATTTGCCCGTTTAGCCTCTGCTCTTTACTCACATACTCAAGCATGCATGGTGCCAAAGGGGCGCTAATGTGGCCGCTGCTGCCCGCGCCAAGGGAGAGGAATGGACTGTGGCCGCAGAAGGGAAGGAGGCTGGTGGTGAGCGGGAGGGAGGGGGCTGAAGGGGCAAGGCTCAGGGCATGGGGGCACACGGGCCACCTTCCGGCCTCTGACCTCCAGCTTGCCCCCACCTGCTGTACCCACAGCTGTACCAAGGCCCTCAGAAAACAACATGGGACACACGTTTAAGTCTTCTCTCGAGTGCGGAGGCACACACCTGCTGCTTCAGCACTCCCGAGGAGGATCTTGAGTTTGAGGCCAGTTGGCTTATAACACAAGGATGAAGATGGAGGGAGGCACAGAACTCTTCCCTGTGCTCCTGTATTGGGTACTAAGAGTGTCCCTTGGTTGCCCTGCTGGGATTCCCAGCAAGATGAAGGAAAGCCCACCCTGAGGCTACCACCCCCTCTCCTAACCGTGACCACCTCCCCCTCACTGAGTCCTCTCCATCCCTCCCCAGATTTCGTGGGAATGCAAATGTGAACTATCTCTGCATCTGACCCCAGCAACCAGCCTCGGTGCTTCTTAGATAGCACTACTTCCTAGCTGGGAGTCAAAGCGAATTTAACAACATTGACACACGTAGACCTGACTTTTTATAAAAGACGCTCTAGTATGTTTTACACTGTTTACTTTTTGTTCTGCCATTCTTCTATCATGAATTTTATTTTCTGTTCCGATATTTGAAAACAAACCAGCTTCTTTTAAACTTAAAGTGGTACTATCCATGATGTTTTTTTAAATCAAACACCAGCAAAGGACATTTAAAAAGCAAATTCCCAGCCCTCTCTCCACGAGGACTCCACATCTTAGCTCTGTGGACCAATCTGAAGGAACCAGCCTTCAGTGACCCCCCCCACACCCAAGAGTGTGAAAGATCCAACCCACAGTTCCCAGAGAGAGACATGGGAATGGACAGCAAACACACAGGATGATGTCATTCACCTTCATACACGGAATGAGACTGCCTTTGGTCTCTTGGGCTGGCAGAGACTGGAAGATCTGGTGAGATAAAGGTATTGGAAGCATGTGAATAAATGATGAGTCTTGCTACTTTTAGTGGGAGCGTGTGCACGTATTTTATTTTCCGAAGGGAAATTTGATAAAGCTGAGCAATATTTATTTCTGCATTCATTTTTGGAGACAGGCTGAGTTGTACATCTTGTGAGCCCCATCCCTGCCCACGTTCACTGCCTTGGACGCTGGGACTGACCCATTGTACACACCAGGCTCTCCTGAGCCACACTCCAACCCCACACACCTGGTAAAAATCTGGTACAAAGATTCCTGTGATATGAGCATTTTCTGATTGTAGCAGAAGCTAACAAAGATACATATAATGGAGGGAAGACACACACACACACCACTTCAATTAAAAGTCACACCATAGCCAGATATAATGGTGCACGCCTTTAATCCCAGTACTCGGAGAGCAGAGGCAGGTGGATTTCTGTGACTTTGAGACTCTACATAGTGAGTTCCAGGACAGCCAGGGCTATGTAGACAGGCTGACTCAGTCTCAAAAAAAAAAAAAAAGGAATAAGGAAAGAAAGAAAGAAAGAAAGAAAGAAAAGGTCACATCGTTCAGCATACCTAAGCTTATTATCTGTTTTCAGCCTCTAAAACATAAAGGGCGAGAAGACCAGGCCTCAGAGAGATTGAGTAATTTTCCTGAGGACAAACAGCTAGGCTGTGGCGGGAGGCCTCTGCTCCCCAGCACAGGGATTTGTACGAGAAGACACAGAGGCCAGTCTCTGTCTAGCCTTGTTGCAGCCTCCACCTGCTTGAGGGCTCTGTATCCTGACCGCCTCACACCCACACCCACTCCCCACCCCGCCTCAGCCTGCTGCAGCCTCTACCTACTCCAGGCTAAGCTGGGAGGGTAGACACACACACACACACAACTTCAATTAAAAGTCACACCATAGCCAGATATGATGGTGCATGCCTGTAATCCCAGTACTCGGAAAGCAGAGGCAGGACACCTGTGAGTTAAAGTCAGCCACAGCTGCTGGGCCTGGGAGGAGCTGATGGAGCAACTGCAGGAAACCAGGCGGGCTCTGTGGAGGAGGTGGTTCAAGAGCCACTACTGATAGAGAGAGCGTTTCATCGCACACTGCCGTGCGAAGCCTGTGTCTAGACAATTACATGCCATGCTTTCTCCCAAATCACCCCACCAGCCCTGTGAGGCAGGAGTGACTGTTTCCCTTGGGAACTGGGGGCTGTGGAGGGTGGAGCCTGCTGGGGGCAGCTAGCTGGATGTCAGCCACCGCATCTCCATGACAGACGCAGCAGCCACCGCATCTCCATGACAGTCCACCACCCCTCTACCTGCCCTGTCTCTCTCTGCTTCCTCCCTCAGATGAGACCACTGAAGGGCCGAGGAACGTCTGCCTGTTCAAGGAGGCCCATGTGTATGACAACTTTGACTTGAATGACATCGCTAAGTGCTTCACCAAGTGCGGGCAGCTGGGGGACAGCTCCTGTGATGTGGGGAACTTGCAGAGGTGAGGGGAGAAGAGTCTGGGGGGAATGGGAGGAGTGGTCTGCTGGGAAGCCGTAAGGCCATGAGCCCCCAGGGCCCCAGAACATGCTGTTCCCTTCTTCACCCTTCCGTGTTCTCCACGGCCTGGCCCCACCCTGGCAATCAGAGACCATACTGTCTAGGGCAGTGGTTCTCAACCGTGGGTCATGAACCCTTTGGGGTCAAATGACCCTTTCACAAGGGTGGTCTCAGACCATCAGAAAACACAGATATTTACATTACAATTCATAACAGCAGCAAAATTACAGTTATGAAGTAGCAATGAAAATAATGGTTAGGGGTCACCACAGCATGGGGAACTCATTAAAGGGTCACAGCATTGGGAAGGTTGAGAACCACTGGACTAGGGGATGCAGTGACAATCATCCTATCTCTGCCTTGGGAACCATGGAGGGACAAATAGGGACACGCATAGTGATGACTCTAGGGTGTGGCCAGTCAGAAGTGTGGACAAGGAGGCAGCTTAGCAAAGAAATTGGCCAAGACCTTCTCCAGGAGGCAGCCTGGGAAAGGGATTTGAGGAGCACGGGACAGTTTCCCAGTGGGCCTGTGCAATGGTGGGTGGTATGGCCACTTAACATCACAGTGCTGGGGGAAACCTACAAGGTCTGAATCGTGAGAGTGCCAAGAAGTTCAGGGGGCAGAGGTGACAACGTCGAGATGGGACAGGCGGAGGATGGAGCTGGAAATATAAACAAGGAGTCAAGTGGGAAGGGCTGTGTTAACTAGACCGTTATGGGCAACAGGGACTAAGAAGGGTTCATCAGGTTTGCACTCTGGACTGATTGCTTGGACTTCAGGGCTGGATACAGGGGCGGTGACACAGGTGGAGGGATGAGGTAGGCTGCAATTCTGCAGGCACCGTGGAGCTGCTCGGGAAAGATAGCCCAGGGAAGCCAGAGGCGGGCTTCCTGTGACAACGAGGCTGGTTCGATGGGGGCAGGGGAGAGGAAGCCTCCAGGCTCTGTCCCTGCTGGAATCACAGCCATAGTAGCTCTGCCTCTCTGCTCTGCTCCGGCTTCTAGGCAAAGGAACCCAAAACTCATCCAAGATGCCACTCAAGTGCCCAGCTTACAGCCAGGATTCGGGAAATGGTTGTTGAAGGGATGAACGAAAACCTTTGCCCAAGACTGGCTACTAAGTGTTCAGATTGACATTCACTCTTTCAGTGGCCTGAAAAACACTCCCAGCCCAGCGCGCTGCTACTCTGGCAGCTTCTTAGACTCTACGAAGCTCAGGGCTCCTCTGCTGCTGCTCTATGGCCTGGGTAGGCACCTTGGAGAGAGCAAGTGCCTTGGGGACTGAGGTGGGGTCTGTTGCCACTCCATCCCTTGAGTTTACCCTTTTATCTCATTAACACTGTCTTTAGTTACTTTTCTTATCACTGTACCAGGAGCAACCTATGGAAGAAGGCTGGTTCCCAGTAAAAGGTGCTGTCTATCAGTGGTGGGGAGGACGCGATGGATGGAGAGGCTCTGTCCATGGCCGCCAAGGCTTGCAGAATGACTTGCTCTAACACCTAGTTAGGGAGGGGCATGGAAAGCAGAGACCAATAGGAAGAAGGCCTCACTTGTATTCTTCAAGGCCTGGCCCTGTGTTCCACACCCACCACCTAGGCCCAGCCTCCCAAACAGCATCACCAGAGGAGGCTGAAGTGTTCAAACACAGGAGTCTGTGGGACATTTGACATCCAGACTATAAAATGCTCTGAAGTAAGTCCTGCTATCAACCCATTCCTCAGATGAGAGAACTGAGGGTCCGTGCAATCAAATAGCTTGTCTATGATCTCACAGAAGGTCAGAGGCAAAATTGACAGGAGCTGGCTTAGAGGAGGCACCTGATATGTCAGGCTGGACCCAGCCTCCCAGTGCTCAGTTTACCCACCTGTAAAATGGGATTCACAGAACGATGGTGGAGGTTAAACACACAGTCTACACCTGAGTGCCGTGGTTACTGCCACCATCTGCACTGTCACACAGCCACGTTCTCAAGCCTCTGCTTCAGACCTCTTAGGCTTCCTCACAGCAACACTGAATACTGAGTGAACAATGCATGGAGGAGTTATTAGCAGATAGCAGGAACTCGATGAATGCTAGTGTGCTCTATTTTAAAGGCCCTTTTGATTATAAAAATAATATAGCCCAGTGTGGTGGCCATTAATCCCAGCACTCTGGAGGCAGAGCAGGCAGATCTCTGAGTTCAAGGCCAGCCTGGTCTACACACTGAGTTCCAGGACAGCCAGGGCTACACAGAGAGACACTGTCTCAACAAACAAAAGCAACAACAACAACAATAAAATAACACGTATTCATTGGCAATCAGCATAGAAAGGAAGAGAAAGTTTCCCGTAACCCATAACAGGCCGTGGCCTTCATCTGGGTATGTATTGTCATGAACTTGTGTTCCTAGGCATGTGATTCCCGACTCTCGGGGGAGACATAGGAGTAACTCCAGCAGAAGCTGGCTGAGTGGTCAGGCCAGTTCAGTCCCACAAGCAGATTGTGCCGGCCCAGTGGCCCTGCAGCTTTGCCAACTCTTAGTATTGTTTGTCTTTTCCCTTTAGCCATCCTTACAGGTTGCTAGTGTGCTTCATGTGACTGTGAAGACATTTTCTGATGACCTGTACTGAGCACCTCGCTTTAGTCATGTTGTGTCCTGACATCTCCACTGTGCTTGTTGGTCTACAACGCTGGCTGGATTTTCTGTAGTGATTTTGGGGTCCTTTGCATGTTTTCTGGGAGTACTCTTTCTCTTCTAGAACTCCCTGTTCACTTTCTTGGCACTGACTTTTGACCACTGCTGAAGTCTTTAATTTTAGTTAATACAATCGATCGAATCTTCTTTAGGTTTGCTCTATGGGTTGTTATTTTGTGCGTGTGGGTATAATGCCAGGGGGGCTAGCATGCCACAGCATATGTGTGGAGTCAGCTCTCTCCTTCTGCATTCCACACGGGTCCTGGGATTGATAACAAACACACCTTTTCCCCCTGAGCCGTCTCACCAGCCCTATTGCCTTTTTAAAGAATTTGTGTTCTACACCAGGCAGGTGTGGCTGTGGCAGCACCTTTAACCCCAGAACCCGGGAGGTGGGAGCAGAGGCTCAAAGAGGTCAAGTCTATCCTCAGGTACATGACCAATTTGAGGCCAGCCTGACCCTGTCACAGACGAAAAGAATACAAGCAAACAAAAGAAAAAACAATTATTTTATATGCCAAGATCACGAAAACACTCCCTCGAAAGCTTTATTGCTTCCTTGCTCACAAGTCTAGGATCTGGGGAGAAAAGAGCAGACCGCTCGGTTCCTCAGAGCTTCCTGCTTGGCTGGTGGAATCAGCATGAGCAGTTTCAGCAGTGTCGGGAGGAAAGCTTGCTGTCTGTTCAGGGCCATCGAGTCTCAGGTTTGTCTCTCTTCCCTCGCACGCCTCCCCTGAGACCTCTGGATGCCCAGCTGTGGCTCCGGAGCCCCCGTGCCTGTGTGAGGCAGGGCCTCATCTCACGCCTGCCATAGTCAGCTCTGAGCCACTTTCCTTCCCTGGATTTGTCTGTCCTGGTGGCCTAAAGGGAGCCAAACAATATTTGGGACTGGCTTCCTTCCCTTAGTGTGCTCTTCCAGTTCATTTCTGATGTGGCCAGTAAGGTGTGTTTTGTGACCCGCAGTGACCTCTATTTATCAGAAACCCAAACTCTCAGCAGAGAGAACTTCGGAAGAACAGATGTCCCAGGAGAAGAGAGGCCACAGGTGCTGAACCTCATGTTCATGGTTTCCTACAGGATGTCACCTCGAAGTCATCACTGTCCTAGCTGCTGTTGACAGGGTGTCACAGCCGTCTTGGCATGGCGTGGTTTCTCCATGCATTCTGAGGAGAATAAACAGCTCTTCCTGATTCAGAAGCAGAAGTCCAAGGCCATGCTTCTTAAAAATAGATATGTTGAGACATCATATAATATAATAGCTATTTTTATTTTAATGCTAGGGAGGATGGCTCAGAAGAGCATTTGCCACTCTTGTAGGTGACTCAGGTTCATGCTCTGTACCAGGTGACTCACAACCACCTGTAACTCCTGCTGTAGGGGATCCAACACCTTCCTTTGGCCTCTTCTGGGGCCTGTCTTGAGTGTGGTGCAATTTGCATATGACTACACACATCCTTCAGTTCCTACCCTCAGAAACCTGAAAAATATCTCTGGTCTCACAGATGGCCACTCATGCTCCTCCCACTGACGCAGAGGATGTTAGTAATGGTGTGGTGGTTGACTTTACCTAACATCTAATTTTAGATATATTTTATTTTATTTTATGTGTGTGAGTGTGTTGCCTGTGTGTGTGCGTGCGTGCGTGCGTGCGTGCGTGTGTGTGTGTGTGTGTGTGTGTGTGTGTGTGTGTGTGTGTGTGTGTGAACCATGGACATGCAGTGCCAGTGGAAGTCAGATCCATTGGAACTGGAGTCATGAATGGTTGAACCACCATGTATGTGGGTCTTCTGCAAGAGCAATGGATGCTTTTAACCACTGAGCCATATCTTCAGCCCTTGATGGTGAATCTTGATTGTCAACTTAACTGTGTTGGGCAATTCGATGGCAGAACACACTTCTGATTGTGTGAGTTCATTTTCATGGATAATAAGATTGTGAGGGCTCCGAGCTGGCCAGTGGTTCAACATACTCATGAATTCAAACTTGGAGTAAATTAAGCGGGAGCAGGAGAGTGGAACTGGGAAGGTACTGCCTAGTTGGAGACAACCTTTGAAAAGTACCTCTTTGTCCTGTCTGCTTCCTGTTATGCTCTGCTTCCCAGCTACAATATGGTGAGCGGTCTCTTCCGTATATCATGTGGCATTGTCTCATAAAGAAACAATAAAGATGCTCACCCAGGGGCTGAACCTTCTGGAGACATGAGCCAAAATAAATATTTCCTCCTTTAAAGTTATCAGGCAACACACGGATAACAACAGTGCCATTGTG